ACATTTTTCAATAATTTTTTTGATATTTTGGTTACTTTTTAATTGCAACTTTTATCTTTAAAAGTGTGTCAATATTTTAATCAAAAAATCTTTTTTTTTTTTTTTAAAAAATCCTAATTTATATTATATTTTTCGTTTAAATCATTACATTTGAGTTACTTATTTATTAATTCGTAAATATTGTTTTGAAATTGGAATAAAAATGAGTTTCGATCTATTTAATATTCTTCAATTTTTTAGAAATGAAATAATAAGAAATCGCATATTTCTTATACCCTAACGCTCAACTCAAATAAAGTTTACAATCTATTGATAAATAAATGGCAGAATCAGATAAAAAAAAATAATAAATTTAATTAAATCCAACCAATCGGAATCCTTAGTGAAAGTGTTAATCAAAGATTGTATCTAATTATATGATCCATGATTACATGTCATTTAGGTTGGAAGCGAGCTTTACTTTACGTAATCATGCAGTATTTTAAACTGACTGTTTTTCATCCAGATGCTTATTTATTTGAAATATGATTATTCTTTTTTTTTAAGTAAAAGGTTGTTTTAAGTCGAAATATTCTTTTTTGTAGAAATCTGGGAATTTAAATTATTAAACCACCATTGTGTCACAAACTCTTACACTAGCTCTATACCCATGTGCAGACCTTAAGCTTTTTAACAAAAAAACGATATATATATATATATATACAGTACAGAACCCGTTATCCGGAAATCAGAAAACCGGAAAACCAAAAAACCGGAACAAAATTCGATAAATTTTCGCGCCATTTAAAAAAAAAAAATTTTTTTCCCTCATAAGATTTTAGGATTCTTTCTTCTTTTTTGAAAGATGTTTACCTTACCATCATTTTGGAAATAATCATTAGTGTATTCCTTCATCGTTTTTTCTTCTTTTTAAGATTATTTCCAAAAAAACATTTTTTTGTTAAACAATAAACAAACGGCTTTTTGTAGCGATTCAGAAAACCGGAAAAATCAGTTATCCGGAATAGCGATGATCCCGATCGTTCCGGATAATCGGTTCCCTACTGATATATGGCCAATTTATTAGACGCACTGTAAGATTCTATGTAAAATCTTAATTATCAGTTATCTATTAAGTAAGCTTTATAGTTTTTACTCGGCTGAAACCGGTTTATACCTGTTTACGTTCATGTATCATTTGTTTAACATTGTAATGCAATACGTTAAAAATAAATATAAAAAATCTCTTGAATAAAAACCCATCACATGTATGTTTAAATAGAAAAGTATTGCATATAATCTCGTGCAACATGTCATTATTATAACATGTCATTATTAAAGAACTACAGTGTGCCGAATAATCTTGTCTAATTATTATAATATACTAATATCTGATATAACAAATATTCTAATTTATGTAATCTATCGTCTAATTTATCTTATAAATTATCGAATTTTATCAATTGATGCACAAACGTAAACCAGTGCAAACTAAGATATCGTCGAATTTATATTATAAAGTATCGAATTTTATCAATTGATGCACAAACGTAAACCAGTGCAAACTAAGATATCGTCGAATTTATATTATAAAGTATCGAATTTTATCAATTGATGCACAAACGTAAACCAGTGCAAACTAAGATATCGTCGAATTTATATTATAAAGTATCGAATTTTATCAATTGATGCACAAACGTAAACCAGTGCAAACTAAGATATCGTCGAATTTATATTATAAAGTATCGAATTTTATCAATTGATGCACAAACGTAAACCAGTGCAAACTAAGATATCGTCGAATTTATATTATAAAGTATCGAATTTTATCAATTGATGCACAAACGTAAACCAGTGCAAACTAAGATATCGTCGAATTTATATTATAAAGTATCGAATTTTATCAATTGATGCACAAACGTAAACCAGTGCAAACTAAGATATCGTCGAATTTATATTATAAAGTATCGAATTTTATCAATTGATGCACAAACGTAAACCAGTGCAAACTAAGATATCGTCGAATTTATATTATAAAGTATCGAATTTTATCAATTGATGCACAAACGTAAACCAGTGCAAACTAAGATATCGTCGAATTTATATTATAAAGTATCGAATTTTATCAATTGATGCACAAACGTAAACCAGTGCAAACTAAGATATCGTCGAATTTATATTATAAAGTATCGAATTTTATCAATTGATGCACAAACGTAAACCAGTGCAAACTAAGATATCGTCGAANAAGGGCATTTTTTGCAGTTCATAAGGGCATTTTTTGCACTTTTTAAGGGCATTCATTGAGATTTTTTAGGTCATCAAAATCCGGGCTCTAATTATAATATATTACCTGATATAACAAATATTCTAATTTATGTAATCTATCGTCTACTTAATCCAATCGTCGAATTTATATTATAAAGTATCGAATTTTATCAATTGATGCACAAACGGTGCAAACTAAGATATCAGTCACGTAAAAAACAATAAAGCTGTTATACCTGATAATTTGCATAGAATCTTCTAATAATTTGAATTGTATGTGTCCCTATTGAATTCTCTATGACATATTTTAATACTTTTTATGTGCCACTTAACTTAATTCATGATTTCTTGAGTTGCCTTCACAAATATATTTTCCAAAGAAATGTCAATTTTCCTTATTTATTTTTGTTATGCTTTTGCAGGGACATTCCAAGGTAAGGAACATTCTTTTTGCTTATCTAAATAGGTAAAATATCTGTAGTAAATATTTATGTAAACATTAAAATAATACTCAGAAAATAACACTTTGTGTTAAATAAATAGCGGCAAAACTTTTATAACGGGTTATGTTTTATAAAATTGTTAGATTAAAAATTGAAAAATACACATTTATGTTTTAAAAAAAATCAGTGAAATAAAATGATAGATAATCCTATTCTCTCGCCAGTAGTGAATTTTGCTGTTAATAGATAATTTACTGTTAATAGATATTATGTCACAATTCTCGATGTGCTCTAATTAACAGTATTAGACTGTAGCTGTAATGAATTAATTAATGAATACTAATGAAAATAAACGTTACTCATCAAACCTTAATTATTCTTCTTATTTAGATTCCAATTGGGGTTGTCATTTATTAAAACATATTTTCCATATCAGGTTATATTTAAAGCAGGTTTGTTGGAAATATAGCAGGATTTAGTTGAAAATATAGCAAACTAAAATGAATTGCATCAAGTGGCATGGGATACGAGTTTATAGCATTAAACGATACAATAAAAGAACTTTTGTGGTTTACAACCATATGTAAGGAGTTAAACATAAGGGTATTTTCTTTTATAACTTCTCCGTGAGAAAGATAAAGCACTTGACCTTCATCTTTTAAGCAACATCTTCAATTACTCCCTTTTCAAGTCATTCCTTAAAGACATTTTCATAAGCTTCATAATTAGACTCAGTTTTATGACGTTTGTTTCGCTGGCTTTTTCTGCATGTTTCAACACTTCATCTTTTATTAGAGATCTTGTCGTTTGCCGGCTATTAAAATTACTTTTAAGATCGTATGTACCACACTGTTACCTAACAAATATTATATTTCTGTTTTAAAAAAAAAACGATAAAAAAACATGTGGCACATAAGATTTGACATGAGAAATTAGACATACCATTTTCTTGATGCAAACTATTTTGGTGGTAAGTTTAAACTGTTCAGTCACCCATTGAAAATAAAACTATTTGCTGATTTTGATGAAAATGGGTTTTAATAATATAAAACATTTCTTTTCGTTTGGGAATGCAAACTTAGGATATTACACAAAAGTGCATCAAAAATTGACTTTCAGAAAAACCTAAAGAGATAAATACAATAAGGAAATTCTTGTATTTAACAAATACATTTTTCAACATTTTAGATTTTCAAATTCATGACTAATTCCAAGAATTTTTCATGACTTAACGAAGTAACTATTTTCTCCGACAAAAACACAATAATACATTTAAAAAAGCATTATAATAACATTCACTGAAGTGATAGGTATAACCAAAACTGTTATACTCTGCATTTTCTCATTTATAGATTTTAAATTTAAAAAACAAAGTAAAGAAAGAGATGAAGCAATAAAATAGCTTAAAAAAATACAAAAGCAAAAAAAAAATTTTTTTTCTCTTTTTTTTCTGCAGAATTACATTCTAATGATACTTTTCTTGTTCATCGGAAAGGAAAGAAATACTCCAGATTTTTCTGTTCTCATTTTGGAATAAAGAAAATTGCCAATGACTGGCTTGCTTCAGCTGAAACTTTAAATCGATAAAATTAAAAAAAAAAAATAATAATAATAATAACAAAAATTCTGAAATCACAGAAGTTTAAAAGATAATTGGCTCTAGAAATGATGTTTTTTTTTTCATTTTTAGAAAGAATACCATAATTTTCAAAGATGATGATAAAAACTTCTTATATTTTAATAAAATACGACTCTGAGTGGGTATTTTGTTACAAATTCAGATATTCAGAACACCATGAAATTGGAAAGAAGAAAAAAATTCGGCGACTTAAATCCATGACTTTTCATGATTTTTTTTAAAAAAATGGTTAAAATCATGACATTTCATGACAAATTTTGTTCAATACCGATATTCATGACTTTCCAGGTGTGCAGATACCCTGTGAAGACATAAATACAATAAGGAAATTATTTGTATTTAACAAATAATACACAGCTCCTTTCAAAGAAGTGTAGTACTCTTTTAGTGTATGGTGTTCTCCAGAAAATATTTTGAAATGGCTAAATCACGGCCATTCAAAAGTTGGTTAAAATAAATTATGCAACGGTTTGCAAGAATTGGGACAAATGATACATTCTCGTTAGAGAAATTTTACATCACCTCATACAACTCATTTATCTCTAACTCAAAAGCTAGTGAGAAAAATAAAATTGATACATTTTCAGTAATTTAAAGCAAAGCAAAACAAATTCCTCTAACTTTTTGATGTAACCTCACACAAATTATTTCAGTTTCAATTCAAAATTAAATTGCATGCAAATAAACATTGTTTATTTTTTCCTTAAAAAAATATTTAAGTTACAGGATATATTCAACTCTTCATATGCTCTAACAAGCACATTCTTGGAATATTCAAATCTTGCAACTCTGTCGTAGAGATTTCCACCATCTTTCAACATCAGAACAGCCTTTCCTCCTACTCCTTTACATTCTGATCATCATTTAGATCCTAAAAAAAAAAGTCATTCATTATTATAAGATACCAGCCGAATAAAGTTACAACTCTCAGTCACTAAAAAAAACCAACAATAAGCAAACAATATCCTTAGCAGCAAAATAACTTGGGCCCTCATTGGGCAAACATTCATGAATCTTGACTCAGTAAAGGTTCAAAGGGCCTTTATTTTATATAGAATTTTCAGATTCACCCGATATTGTACGGCCCCCTTTTCAACCAATGTCGGTCCTATAGGATAAATAAACATTACGCATCCATCTGGAATCAGAGATGAAAAGATTGAAAGCTAAAAAATAAAACCATTACTTAAATGAAATGGACATTTAAAAGTACTCTCGATTTTGCAATAAATTACATGCATAAGAAAGGAAAAACAATGTTTTCACTGCAGTTTGATGTAATAGAAAAAAAAATTTACAACTCGAAAATTTTAACAAGTTTATCTTTAACGACATTTGAAATTAGTAATCAGCCTATTTAGAAAACAGAAAATTGAACCAAAAGATTGAAATAAGGTTATAAGTTGAATGGTGAGTAATTAGTGAATGGTTGCTAAAATGGACCTATTGTATGTTAGAAGAATGATTAAGTTTTATAATTATTAAATAAAATAAAAAGATATTATAAACATTCCAAAATGACTAAGTTTTATAGTGTATCTAAATTATACAATCAAAATTAGTAAATAAAATAAAATCCAAATTTAATGAGTATTTTCCCAACTAATTAAAATGAATGAATAATGATTGCTAAAAGGATTTGTGGGGAGAGTAGATATCGACAATGTCAACCTTCATCTATGAAAAGGTATCCTGACATAGAATAGAGTTAACATGTCTTATATACTTGTGAATTGGAATCGTATTTTTGTAGTGGTAGATACACTACAGTACTCCCCTACCAGAATTATATCTGTGATAGAATTCGATGAATGGATACCACTAGTTGAATCATTGCTGTTTTTGTGCAAAGCCGGGAGAGCTGTATTAAGACCACCGAACTTTTGCTGATCATGAGAGCTGTATTAAGTTCACGGTCGTGGTCGCTACTTTGTTGCCTTTAGCAGTAGAGTGTATACGATGTGTGTGATCGAGACTGAGAAGCAACAGCGTGAGGAGGTGGATAATGTCACAAGTAGCAAGTCAAATGTTCAATGTGGACCATCCATCAAAGTAGGCATGTTCAGATCGAAGTGGGCGTTACTGCCAAGGTAGGAGTGTTCACATCACGTCCGGGTCACCAATGTCGGGAGAGTAGTCACAATGTCAACCTTCATCTATGAAAAGGTACCCCACTATAGAATCGAGTTAACATGCCTTATATAATAGTGAATTGGAATTGTATTTTTGTAGTGGTAGATACGCTACAGATTCTAGTATTCCAGTATTGTTAGAAGGCACTCTACTATTTCAGTAAGGTTAAGTGCCTATGGCAAGAAAGGATGCTGAAATTCACCAAAGGAAAGACCTCAATTCCTGATTGATACAGCCAGCACAGCTCACACTTTAAGAGTCTGGTTCACTACTTTCAAGACTAAGAATCCTAGTTAAGTTCTTGTTGGAGATAAAAACACAATATGTCTGATATTTTTGGTATTGGTGATACACAGGGGTTGGATAAAATCCCAGTGGCAGAATCGTGACGACATTGTTGCAGAACGTTATGAGTTCTGGCAGAAAGAATTTCCCTTCAGAAAATTAAAAAATTTTGGTTTTCTGTTCTGCAAAAAATATTCAAAACTTTTTTCCCTCTAAAATTATATTTAAAAGATGCCTTTTTCGTGCATCGGAGATGAAAGAAATGTTCAAAAACTTTTTATTCTTAGTTGAGAAGAATGAAAAATAAAGAATGCTGAAGCAAAAAATTTCTTTTCTGCAGAAATGTTTGCAAGATTTTTTCCTCCATAATTATATTCAATACATGCCTTTTTCTATGAGTGCCACTCTAAAAATATTTCAAGACTAAACTTATTTTTTGGATCAATTAACACAATTTAGAGTTTACTAGAATTTTCATAAATTTATTAACTCCAAAATGCACCTTTCTATACTAAGGATCAAATCAATTATTGAAGTTTTTCTTCTTCTTTATTTTATTAATTTATTTCTACAGCAAACAAGATAAAAATAACAGCTAACTTTGTGCATCTTTTTACAACAATCACTGAATAATAAACAACTAATTTTTTCATGAAGATATACATATTTTTCTCTTTATTACTTATTTTTTGTCCTATCTCTATAATTTAAAAAAAAAGAAAATAATCATAATTTAACTTTGGCCAGCATTTAAAAACGTTGGGGATAAATAAAAACAAAAAAATTTAGATACAACAGTACAAATTTTGTTTAAGCAAGCAGGTGTTGAAGTTCAATCTCATTCTTTCATTAATGAACTACACCATTATTTGATCATTCAGCAATAATTATGAAAATTAGCAATGTTTACATTAAAATGTCATTCTCATTTTTATTTAACAGAAGATTTTTTTACATTTTTAAGAAAAAAACAGAAATTTTAATATTAAAAACAAATGGAAAAGAGATATTAATAGGTGAAACTTTTCATTTAATTAATGATTAAAAACAAATGGAAAAGAGATATTAATAGGTAAACGTACCATTTTTCTCTCAAGACTGATCTCTGAAGAGTGGCACCCATGCTTTTTCACGCAACAGAGGGGAAGAAATGCTCGTGATTTTTTAAATTCTTATTTGGGGAAAAAAAATTTCTTTTCCTTTCATTCACAGATTGTATGATTTTTAATTATTTTTCTTATGTGATGATGATTTACGAAATGCAAAAAAGGAAATAATTAGTGCGTTTTCCTCTTACAAAATAGGAGAACATCGCCCATGACATTAAAATAAAAAAATATTACATAATCATTTAAAAAAAAAAAAACAATTTTATTATATCCATATAGACTTTTTTGTGAATACAATGTTTCTGTTACTTTAAATTTAAAAATGTAAGTAATAACATGTATATTAATTATTATTAATAGTATCTTGCAGAAAGATATTAGAGCTGGTTTGCCGCAGAAAGCCTAAAAAAATTCTGCCACAGGGGACAAAATATTGGAAACACTTCAATACTAACACATTTTGTAATATTTCTCAAAAAATGTTCAAAGGATCAGTTTATAAATTTAAAAGTGTTTAGATAGTGCAATCTCTCATACATATCAATAAATTTTAAAGCTTTGTGAGGTTTGAGGCACTAACAATAAATTCCCACCCCCCAAAAAAAATTTTTTTTGAACACCGTATGCCAAAAAAATGTAGTAATAAATTTATAACTTATAACTGCTATTTTAGTTGTAATATTTGCACAAACTTTATATGAAATAATTGCACTAACTTTCGTAAACCTAACTTAAATATTTATGGAGATATGGACAGTTTTATAAAGAAATTAAAAAAAAAAAATTTGTCTCAATTTTTTTTTCTTGTTATAACTATAGTTATTCATTAAAATTAAACAAAACATTCGGAACAATTTAAAATTGATTACAAAATTGTTGCTTTAAAAATTGAGAAAAATTTGTTAAAAACTGTTCAAGATATGAGCAATTAAAATAGTTCATTTATAGTGTGCATGAGCAGAAAAAATTTTTAAAAAAATTTGTCTTAATTTCGTAGTGAATCGTATTTGGCAACTAATAAATAAAAGTCTGATCTGAATATCTTAAAAATTTAATAAGTTAAAGCAATTTATTAAGAAGTTTCTTTACATATTAAAAGAAAGTTTACATATTAAAGGAGATAAAATGTCCTGTCTCATGCTTAATATACCTCTAGGAAAGGTTAATAGAGACTAAATGAATACTAGAGGGAAACATCTTTAAGTCCGTGCAGATACTTAGTTGTTCAGATGATATTGTAGTGGCTCACTCTACTTTAGCTCTTAAATAGGCCTTTAAGATATAATAACATACAGCAATTAATTTGTCTTAAGTAGAAAAAAATACCAAACATATGCCCTGTTTTTCAAATCAGTCATCTGGAGACTAAGTTTGATAAAGTGGTTAGTTTTACTTATTTAGGAGAAAAGTTAAAAGCAACAATGATCTAACCTCAGAAATGCATAAACAAATCACAAACGCAAACAGATGTTTTTACATTCTCAAAAAATATATGAAGTCCAATTTTTCTAAAATTAAAAACTGATCAGTAAAATTAGATCCGTTTAATTATATGCATCTGAGACATGGGGATTTTTAGAATCCATTGGCAGTTTTTGAGTCCTAAGAAGAATTCGTGGTAGGTGGGTGGTGGTGGAACAAATACCAAATTATTTATCAGAATAATTAAAAATATGATTAACACATAACTAGATGATTTTATCAACAACAAAAAGATTTTTTTTTTGCAGAAATGTGAATAATGCTCCCCAATAATGGTCCTCATGTTTCTTTGCGAAGATTAACTTAGAATCAGTTTACATTATAACAGTAATCGAAACTTTTATTTACTTCAAAGTGAAAACTAGTGAGTTTAAGTCTAGGTCAAATATTGATTTATTACAAATTTATCGTATTGTATAAAAAATAGTGTTATTATTTTAATTGAGGCAAGTCTGGACACTTATGGACCCTGATTCTAAGGTTCACTGAGGCAGAATTTTTTCGGGCTGCAAGATACTTTGAATAAAAATTGTTCTAATTAAAAGTGACAAAAATGTTGTGTTGATAATTAAAAAAAGGATAAAATAAATTGTACATCTTTGAAAGGGGAAAACGCACTGATTATTCCCTTTTTTGCCTTTTGTAAATCATCATCACATTAAAAAAAAACTTATAAAAAGTTGTCAAATTCGTTGCAATAACTATCGGGAGAAAAAAAAGAAGAAAGATCGACGACGAAATCGAGCGAATCGAATCGGAACTTTGAAAAAGGGGTCACTCAAGCGCATGTTTCGTTTCGAGATTCGGTTGTTGTAATAAATATCGGATTTTAAAAACAAAGTGAAAACAATATCAATAACTGTCTTAAATACACTATGGATTTACAATATTATTGGCGTAAATTGTGATTTGTATCAGAAAGTGATTATTTAAATGCTCAATTACACGCAGAAATAATATAGACTGAGAAATAAGCGGAATTTTAAAAAACCCGTGGAAATTGGTAGACCTAGCATTAACTGCCTAAAAAATGTTGAAATCATCGCATTAAAAAAGTAAATTACCAAATAAGCGATGATCAGTTTTGCATGCATTAAAATTTTTTAAAAAAACATTGAGTTTTTCTTAAATGTGGAAATTTGTGGCAATAACTCTCGAAAGAACGACTGAACACCGTATGGATCAACGATGATATAGGTGCAAATAGGGCTTGTTTAAGAGTAATTACATTTATTATTTCTCAAATGAGAATGGAAAAATCACGAGCATTTCTTTCCCCTCTGAAAGGCATCCTTTGAATATAATTCTGCAGAAGAAGAAAAATATCTTTCTAATATTTTTGCAGAAAAGAAAACCAAATTTTTTTACTTCCCAAAGGAAAAATCTTTTTGCGAGAACTCAATAACATTCGCCACGATTCGGCCACAGGGTTAAGGTTGATACAAAAGTTTTTCCCTAGGAGGGTCATAAGTAAAACAACTGAAAAATGTAAATTTGCTTAGAATGTGTAGTCTCAGTGAAATACAAAGAATTTAGTTTAGATTTTCTCTTTTGCTATCCAGCTGAGCTTTAAAACTAGCATTTTTTTAACATGGGACTTTTTTTGAAAAGAAAGAACAAAAAAACATCCTACTTCATCAGATTTTAAAGTGTTGTCTTTCAACTCTAGCTGAGATCCATTTGAATCAAGTTGAACAGTGTTTATCTTCTGTTGGGACTCAATATCAGAAAAATTCTCACTTGCTTCATTTGACTCACTGTTGCAGATATTCCTGGGAATGGATAAAATTACACTCTTTTAATTACTACTGATAGATTAAATTTTAGTTATTTTCTTCTTAAATTATTACTATATATAAGGGTTGCGAACAGGATAAAAAGGCACAGGATTTTAAAAAGAGCAAATCAGTTTTATTCAACTACCTTAATCAGAGAATGAGTAACACAAAACCAAACTCAATAAAAGTTAGGGAAAATCTTGCAAAATAAATCCGTAAAATGTTTTGTTGAATGAATAAGGGAAGTAATAATAACTATAATTGGTCTATTAAATAGGTCGAGGGAAATTAATCTACTTTGTTTACTTTTGTTAACATTATACTACAATTACATGCAAAAAAAGTAATTCATTGAAATTAAATTTTTTTTTGATAATTTTAGAGTTTCAATCGGCAAACCATTAAAAAAAATTAAGCAAAAGTTAATATTTTGACAAAATTAGGCAATAATTTTTAAAATCTTCTTGAAACCTTTAATCATTGTTAGTAACAAGTTAAATACCAAGTACTATTTTTTTCCAAGCATGCATTTTCTTAAAAAAAACTGGTGTTACAGACATAACATTTTGTATTATGGATGTAACATATCAACATTATTACACCCATAACAAATCATGAACTTGAATTAAAAAAATATAAATATCGTAAATGGCACTCGTTAGATATCAATATATTTGAGAGAGACCAAACAGTTATATATAACTTTAGTAACTTTTTTTTTATTAATAATTCTAGAATTCAATTCTATATTATTAAGTAACAATTATATTTAGAAGGTAAAAATTTTAAGATGAAGTATTTTAATAAGAAGTTTATATTATTTTAAAAAGAAATTGCATTTTAAAATATTGGCAACATTATTTGATGTCAAGGCTCACAACTAAAGGTGGTCAGTCAGCCCAAGACTACTACAATGTAACTCGGACCACCATAAAATAATTACCAGTGGTCCTTAAGATTAGCAATCAATGTAAAGGAATGGTATGCTGCTTTGGATTTCTAATTTTCAATTTTAATGTTTTGGTCCGTGTTTCTGTTACAAAATAGCATAATTCATCATAATTGAGACATTTCACAAACTCTGTAATTTATAAACTCTATAATTTTTTACGTAAATTTCCTTAAAAATAATAAAAGACGTATCTGGATCAAAGATTAAATTTCCTTAATTTTTACTCTTGATGTTGATTAAATATTAAAAACTGGCAACCGAAAAAAGCTTCCAAATAACAGGAAATATGTTGTTTTATTTAAACTAAATTACTATAAAAATTATTAAATTACTATAAACTAAAGACAATAAAAGTTAACTAAGTTATTTGTTTTATAAATTTTAGTAAACTACCTAATTTTGACTTCAAATATTTTTTTATTAAATTGTATGTAAAAATAGTGATAGTTATGGGATGTATTTTGAAATGCATTGCATATTGGAACTGTTTTAAATTTAGTTTAACACTCACTAGAATATTAAAATGCTTAAAATATTATTTAAACCTATTTCTCAAACATCGTTACATAAAAGCATCCTTACTTTCGAGAATAGAAAAATCAGAAAAGAGATGTACTAAGTATCTTTGGATAAACGAGCTTTAAAGAATACATGAAGCAAAAATAAGATTAAGTATGGTTTCAAAGTAGTGACTAAACTATTGGGTAATAAAATAAGTAGAAAAAATCGGGTAATATCGATCCAGATTCCTAATTAAAAGTATTGTCGGTATTAAATTAACATATATCAGTTAATTTGCTAAAAAATCTGACCTATTCAATATAGTGTTGCTTATTGTACATTATATTTACAACCATTTTGAGACACGGAGTATAACAAATTGAAAATGTAATCAAGTTCAAATTCAATAATAATTTAAAACTTTTATGATAGCAGATAGCGCACCTATCTTCGCTTTTCATAAAATATTTAAATTACTCAAATAAAAAAATAAATAAACCTTGATAATTCATCTGCATTATTTTTGTGTTCATCACACTCTTCATTGGATTTATATGAACTTGAATCAGAGTCACTTCCACTTGAGTCAGAAATATCTTCATCCAGCCTAGGAGAGGAAATACAATAAATAAATTTCAGAAATTCCAAAACTTGAATTCTAATCAAAAAATGCAAAGTATTTTCCTAAAAGGCATTGTGTATTCAAAATAATACACTATCCCCAACAAAATTAAAAATAATTCTTTTTAAGATATACACTACAGGCACATATTTACCTAGACACATACAGATATTTACCCACATGCATATATATCACCTGTGGCAAAAATTTTTCCAGCTATCTGCGACAAAACTCACTAGTACTAATATTTTTCTGCTATAGATTCCTTTAATAATAGCAAACATATATGTTACCAATTTAAAATAACAAAAGCTATTATAATTTTTTTTAAATTTAACATGTAATATTTATTCTAATATTATGGGTGATATTCTCACATTTTTTTGAGGAGGAGGGGGGAAACACACTAATTATTTCCTCTTTCGCATTTTGTAAATAATCATCACAATAACAGAATACAGTCGAACTCGTTCATAACGAGCACAAAGGGACCGTAACATTGTACTCGTTAAGTCCGAGTGCTCGTAATAAAAAAGGCAGGCTTGCAACCAGAAAAGGGGGGGGGGGCTTGGGAAGTCAAATGATTGAGTTTACTTAAAATTTAAATAACACTTACTTACTTTAATTTTATTAATTAATTTAATTAAATACTTTTCTTAATTTAATGACAATTAACCCCCCCCCCCAACCAACAAAAAATTTCTAGTTGCGCTACAGTCTTAAACGAAGGAAACAATAAACGGAAAGAAAAATAAAGAAAAGATTCTTACCAAAACATTAATTTTTTTCATTAATCTACATATTTAAAATAGTAGTTTGTTAGCTTACTTTGAAGTTTCAGTTCGCGGTTTTTTTTTNGTCTCTTTCAATTAAGTTTCAGTTCGCGTTTTTTTTATTTTTTTTTTATTTCGAGCGCATTTCTTATCATTTTAAATAAAAGATGAGAGAGAAAGACTAGAAAGTTGAGAAAAAAGAATGCAAGACAGAAAAATATTGCTCGCTAAAACCAGGGCTTGCTCGTTAAAAGCGACTTCTGTTCCATAGACTTAACATTGATCCAACCAAATATTCTCGTTTCCCTCATTCTCGTTAAATCCGAGCTCGTTATAAAAGAGTTCGACTGTAATTAAAAATCATAAAATACGTTGCCGTAAAAAAATAGACGGCGAAATATTGCTTGAAATATATTGAGGTATTTAAAAACCACATGAAAATCAATATCAATAACTGCTGAAAATTCAGTTGCAACAATACATCAATTTACAATACTATCGGCGTAAATTGAGTGCGTCAAATTCGTGATTATCTGAATGTATGATTCAAATATTACGTATAAACTCTTCTGTCAATATATAAAAGAAAAATTATATTATTTATTCTGTCAAATTATAAAAGAAAACATACATTTTTTTTACTTCTCCAAAGAAAAATCTTTCTGGAAGAACTTTGTAACGTTTTGCGACAATGTCACTGTGATTCTGCCACGGGGTGTATATATATGTATACACACATACAGTCTTAGTTCTTTAATACAATCACCCATTAGTGCATTCTTTCTATTGTAATGACCACTCCAAGAGAACATTCACACTGAATCATTCATTCCAACATAGAGACCAACATTTTATTTAATTCTTAGAAAATCATGCCAAAAACAGGTGAGGACATTTTTGCTCTTTTCAAACTAACATTTTCCCGTTCATAACGAGTCAATCAATAAGAAAAGTTTCGAGAGAACTATTCAAATCACTTTTGAATGTAACTGCTCAATAAACATCTTGAATTCTTTAAGACCTCCTTCACTAAATCTAGGAGGCCTTGGGCATAATCTATGGTCAAAAGAATACTAAAAAATAGATTACTTAACATTATCGAGAATTTGAAGTATATATTGCAACCCGTGTAAAAGAATTTTTTCGGGCATTCTGCGATATACCTCTCTAATACTAATATCTTACAGTAAGATACTTAAAAATAACAAATATACATGTCACTAATTTAAATTAACAGAATAACTTAAAAATATAATAATAAATAAATTAAAAAAATCATATCAAATAAAATAATTTTTCTTAATTGAATATGTATTTATTCTAACATTATGGGCGATATTATTACATTTTGTAGAAATGTAACACACTAATTATTTCCTTTTTTGCATTTTGTTATTCATCATCACATTAAAAAAATTGCGAAATCTGTACCAGTAACAACCGAAAAAAAGATAGACTGCGAAATCACGCGAATTGGAAAAGGGGTTACTGAAATGGAATTTACCCCTCCTCCCGTGGGGAAGTAAATTCCATTTTAAAAATTGATTTTTCGGAGACCTATATCTATGACTTTCCCTGATTTTTTTAAAGAAAATAGTTAAAATCATGACATTTCCAGACAAATTTTGTTCAATACCAAAATTCCAGACTTTCCAGGTGTGCAGATACCCTGCTTTTCATAATCTTTCTTTCTTCTTACAATTGTTTAGAAGAAAACTTCTTTTTCAATATATCAAGGTAGAAATTTACGGAGGATCACGTGTGCTTCCTCCCTCTCCAATACTTAAAAAAAAAGCAAACTTTTGAAAACGATTCAGCAGAAAAAAAACATAATTTGAAAAATTCTATCAATTTTTTTTTTTTTTTTTTTGGCTTCTGCAGAACTTGGGCTAAAAGAGAATAAAAAGTCTTTGTTTTGAAAAACTCTTTGAGAATGAAAAGTCTTCCTGCAAGAATTCTGTAACAAAATCACAGTGAGTCTATCTGGGGGAGATATATTTCTGAAAGAGAAAAAAAAATCTGCATCTAACTGTGGTGCCTACAGTCCTTGGGCATATTATTAGACGCACTATAAGATTCGATGTAAAATTAAAATTATCAGGTAATACTATACAGCTTTATTGTTTTTACTCAAATGAACCCGGTTTACATTGCTTTACATTCGTGTATCAGTTGGTTAACATTGTAATGCAATATGCTAAAACTAAATACAAATAAAAAGTATATATAACATCTTCACTATAAAAACTCATTACATGTATATTTCATTATTAAAGTATTGCATATAAGCTTGAGCAAAACATGTCATTATTAAAAACCTACAGTGCGCCTAATAATTTGGTCTAATTATTATAATATACTAATATAATGCTTGATATAATTAATATTCTATATTTAGATAATCTATCATCTAATTTATCCAATATGGTCAAATTTATATTATATATCGTCTAATTTAATCAATTGATACACGAACGTAAAGAAGTACAAACCGGTTTCAGCCGTGTAGAAACAATAAAGCCGTATAGTATCACCTGATATTTAAGATTTTACATGGAATCTTATAATGTGTCGAATAATTTAGCCAGGAACTGTATGTATAATCTTTCTTCAATTTTTTATTGAAATTTAGAAGCTCAAAAGATTGAATTTAAATAACCAGTGTTGCATTATGGCAACCTCGACATACTATTGTAGTTTAAGAGAGGGAACTATATGCATTATGTACTTTAGATATTTTTGTAATTTATTTTAACTGTTTTGATGATTTTATAGCTCAGAAAAAATATTAAAAACTATTGCATACTAAAAAAAAGTAAAAATAAAAAAAATACATACCACAGTCGTTTCTTTTTACTCTGGCCCGAAGTAGAAGGCTCAGTAATTTCAGATGGACGCTTCTTAATTTTTTCCATACCTAAAACAAATTTATTTAATTATTTACTGAAGAATTATTTTCACTTTTCAAAAGAAAAATCATTCTGCAAGAACTCTGTAACATTCTGTGACAATGTCGCCCTGTTGCTGCGATTCCGCCACAGAGATTGTTCCTAATACCATTTAACTGAGTGTCTGAATTAGTCTGAGTGTCTGAACTGAGTGTCTGGGTGCCTGAGTGTTTTAAACATATAAATTTAAAATGAGAGGGAAAAAAAATCATTGGAATTTTGTCAAGATATGATGACGTATACTCTGGAAAATATTGCATTCTTTAAAATTCTCAATTCTTTAAAATTCAAACTCTCCATAGTTCAACCATAGCACAAGGCCAATTTGGTGGTACTTATATTTGGTCATTTGCTGGTGCAATATCGCTTTTCTGTATGCAAATATTTTTCTAGGGTTGTGCTAATTAAAACAAAGCTAATGCAAATTATTACTTAATCCATGTTTAATTTTTAAGAAAATACAAAATAATTTTCAAAGACTTTGCAACTGGTTTCTGACAAAGAACTCTTTTCTTGATTATATTAGACTCCATAAAAAGATCGACAGATTTTTCGTTTTGCTTTCAGAGGGTGGAAAATGAAGCCTGAAATTGAGAACATCTTGCAAAATGCAGCAGAATTGCACGTGAGAGTGCAATAATCTCACCAAACTCGGCTCAGTAGACGCACATGCGGACTCACAGGCATTTCATCAAACATGTAAAATTATTGATGCTTTAATACGCTACAGACCAAGGGTAGGCCAAAATGGATTATAGTTGAATGAACTGTAAAGCCCTTGAATAGAATAATGTGAAAAGCACACTTTTGCATAGTACATTGAGAAAATCGACATGGTAAAGAAAAAAAATCTCATTTTGGAAAAGGGAAAATTAAACACTTTTTTTCAAAAACGCCTAATAAAAATAGCACCTTTAAGCACTTTTTAAAAACACTACGCACCATGCCTGCATATACAAAAATAGGTGTTACCTGCTGTTAGGGCATCATCAATGCGTTCTGGAAGTTCTGATATTTCTTTTTCATATCCAAAATCAACAAAGTTATGCTTTGGTCGAGATTTAAGACGTTCAAGTCTCTCTTTTCTTCTCCTAACCTTTTCAGCTTCCCTTTCAGATTTTTTTGAAATCCAATTTTTTAATCTAAAAAGAAAACATTAAAATTGGATTCATTTTATGAAGATATTCTTGAACTGAGAACAAGGTAGAAAGTGCTTAGTTTTAATATAAAGAAATCACTGGCTAAGAAGCAAGGTTTCAAAAAAGTCAACATTTTCAGCACAGTCAACATCAAAAGCACAGTTGGAAAAAAAGCATAACTTTTTTAAAAAAAATTAAATTTAAATAGGATTTTTTTTTATTCCAATAAGATTTTTTTTTACATTTACTAATTCAACATTTGATAAGATGTATTAATACTTAATGTTACTTAAAAACAATATTATAGCAAAATTTATTAAATTCTTGCTAAAAACAGTTAAAATTATCATTTAATTATTAAAAGCTAATCAGTGAATAAATAAAATCATAGTTATGTTTTTGAAGCTCAAATTGTGCTGTTGATTGTTAAAGATAGGAGAATATAAGTCAATCAAATATCTAATAAAAGAGTAAATTAGTTAGAAAACATAAACTGAAAAAAAGTATTCTACGTTACTCTGGTTAACATACACGATCTACATATTTATTAAGTTTTAAAAGCACTGAATTCAAATAAGTATGAAATTAAATAAGTATAACTAAAAAATGTTTCTTGCACACAAATTATTTTAATTTAAAAGTTTCATGACATTCTTATCTCCCTTTTTTTTAAAACTTTAAGTCTAATCTGAACTATAATACTTAACATGCATATCACTTTTATTATCTCTTAGTAAGAAATCTTCATTTCTTCATTATAAAATAAAGTTTGGTTATACAAGGATATAATATAATAATGTAATTTATAACTATTAACTAAATAAGCACAATATGTAATTAATGGTAATTGGCTCATATTGAAAATCTAATACATTTGTAGAAATACTTGTTGTTGAACCACCGATAGATGGCAGAGTTTATCATTAGATTGTAACCGTAACTGCAAGAAAAGATTTTGTAAAAAAGCAAAAACATCTACATTGTAATGTAGTAGTAGTAATGCCTACCATTGTACCGTATTGATCATGTTAACGATTTAAATATATTTTTGTTACTTACCCCTTGGTAATTATTGAGTAGTTTTCCTGTGCCATCAAGAAAACGAGAAAAAGGTTATATTCACTAATAATAGTAATAAATCTTCGGTGTATTTAGCCTATTAGAATTGCTTTAAGTTGAAAAGCAAAAACATTTATCAGTTTTCAATAGTGAGAAGATTTGCCTCAACTAGTAACGTGAAAAATTAGTTTTACAATTACAATTTAGAAGATAAATTATATCATATCACTTGTCCAATGACTTGTTACTTGCTGATATACGTCTATATAAATATATATTTTCTAATAAATTAATATTAACTAACTATTAATCTTAGCTATAATACAGAAATAATACTTATTGCTATCAGTTGTAAATAACAATATCTGTAAATAAATAAACATGGGTTAATAGTATTTTTCCCATGGTTTTTACTGGTAAAAACTAGTTTTTGTCAGGTAAAACTCTAAAAGAAAATATTAAATAAAAATGCGCAAATTTGCAATTTATCCAACCCGTAAATTTGTTTAATTATACTCGTTCTGCCAGCCCTTTAATCCCTATAAATGCACCCTCCTTGCCTAATTTGTAAAAATAAGTTGTGATCCCTTAAGATATTGCCTTTTTACTTTTTTATATTTTTTTCATGAATAGGTTGTCTTTTTAACCATCTGTTTTGATGAAAACTTCATTTTAGATTTATTTAGTTATTGATAATTATTTAACTTTAATTTTTCATTTCATTCCTTCATTTTAGTAAGATTTTTCTTATATTGTCTACTTATATAGATAAAATTTGCATCAGCCCATAGATATTCACAACTTTGGGGTAAACTCATGAGTTTTTTAGAGATTTTAAATTTTACCCTTATTTTTTTTAATAAATACCTTTCATTTAAAAAGGCACCCTTAAATGATTATTTTCTCATAATTTTCAATTTAAAACATAAAAAAAAATTTCAGGTTGTTTATCAATTAATCTCTTCTCTTTCAATTTACTTTAATTTGAAGAAAATTTATACACAGAGATTGTCTTTTAGCTTGCCTTTAAATATTTTTCAAAAGCATCAAATTTTTCTGTTATTTTGATAAAGAGTGAGAATTACTGTCGTAAATATACACATATCTATTATATATAATTCTCTTACGTGGCTCCCAAATTTTGGCTGTATTTCTTTTCCGCTGGTGGCAACGTTTGCTTTGTTTTGAAAACACCAAAGCATTCTGCCTTTTAAAGATGTGTTTCTGATCTAATATATATAATTCTCTTACGTGGTTCCCAAATTTTGGCTGTATTTCTTTTCCGCCGGTGGCAACGTTTGCTTTGACGGCGAATCGACCAATGATTGCCGCTAAAAATGCCACATGCCAAATCTAGCTGAGGTGGCTCAACATATAGCGCTTTTAAAAACGGAAACTGAAATAACCAGAGATCATCAGCTGCGGCAATCTCATACTANAATTTCTTTAATTATAATGCATTTTTAACATCTTCTAATTTTTAAAGCATTGAATATTTTTGCTGCATCATCATATGGAAAATGTTCTACATCTACTTTTTCATCAGCTATTCTCATTAGGTTGCTTAAATGCGTATTTGTTTCGTTTTGACCGTTTCTACCCACATTTGTTTTATTTTCATGTGCCCGTTTCGGAGTAGAAGATATTGCCCTTACAAAGTATTTGTCCATCTTACATTAATGCGCAAAAAATTTGAACGTCTTACATGAAGAAACCTTACCTACGGTAAGCTCGTTTTTGCAGAGAAATGATTTCTGAAAGAGGTTCCGTGGTTCTTAGGGATGGTGTTCTGTTGTTCTTAAAGGTTCTAAACAATACTGGGAAATAGGGAAGCTAGATAATGGGGCAGATGTTGAAAATAATGAGAGATCCATTAAGAAAAGTGAAACGGATTTTATTCTAAATGGCGCAATGAGAAATATCTTTCAAAATTCGAGAAATTCGCTAATTTTGAAATTGGTTTATAAAATGCGCAAATTTCTCGCGGTAATTATTTTTTAATGCGAGAAAAGAGAAAAATATGCGAGATTCTCGCGTTCTCACGCTGTAGTGAAAACACTGACTAATGTATGTAAAATTAGTATATTTGGAACCTACTAAAACTGCATCATTACAGTTCAATTTTAATATAGACTATATAGCAGAGGTGTTTTACGAGTTTTCAAAAAGAATAAGTACCAGAGAATTAATTAAGCTAAAAAAATGTCTGGACAATTTTTGGAAATGGCACTTACCAATCAGTGGCGTAGTTTTGGGGGACAGAACCCCCTCCAAAATTATACATAACTTGATTAATGAGCTATTCGGTTTGGTAAGGAAGATGCAGACATAAAAAATTTAAATTATTCATTGTTTTCGCAATTTAAACATTTAGAATATATATATATATATGCATAGCTGCAAACTTGTACAACCATTATGGCAGTTTGACGTATTAATCTCATATTTAAAGTTTTTTTCAAAAAAGAAAATTCAAGAAAAATAAATAAAGTCATCACTTTTACACATAAATAAATTTTTCTGCTTCAAATATTTCAATAAATCTTGTTAAAGTGCAGATGTTAAAGATTAACATAAAAACCTACCAATCTATATATATCTGAATAAGTAAGAAAATCTAAGGCATTTTATACAAAAAAAAATAACAGTAAATTATTAATTAAGTTTGCTTGTAGCATGCAAAATTAAAATTATTTGCTGTTATTTTTTTCTTCTAACTCTTGCAATTCAATTTTTTTTTCTTTTTAAGTTTTTCTCAAACTATTAGATTTTGACAGTTAAGTCATATCATTTAGTTTGTCTGCTTGGACAGCAAATTCATCAGTGGACGTAGTTAGTTCATCTATGCAACACAATTATCTAATGAGTTAAGGACTAATTTGGAAATCTAAGTAGTTCCAAGCACTCCTTGGAGATTTTTTTTATTTCCAAGGAGTATAAGGAGTTTGTATGCACCCAGAGACAATAAATTAAGTAATATTCAATTAAATAACTGCAATAATCTTTGACTATCATATAACAGACTTTTCTTTAAAGTGAATTCTTTTTTAAATAGAATGAGTAATAAATCAATTACCTCTGTTCCTCATTGATATCCCTCAGTCTCCTACCACTTAAATCTCTGCAGGCCTCTCTGTTAGTTGTTTTCTCAATTTGGGCACCAATGGCACGCAGCATAGAGCCAAAACCTTTAATTTAAATAGATTGCCTTTAACATATAGATAATTTTACAACAAAGGGCAAAATAATAATTATAATCTCACCTCCTTTACCACCTGGAAGAGAAAGTGATACATGGACGGTAGAATGAGGCAATAAATATTGTCCGTCAGAAACTTTCTTCCCATTGCAATAGAGAGAAAAATCAGTAAACCCCTAAAAAAAATGCTTAATAAGTTAATAATAATGTGACAAAGACAATGCATTTACATTTTAATTAAAAAAGACACTTCCGATAAGCAATTGCGACTCACTTATGGATGGTAAACCTCGTGAAGTTCAAGCCCCGTGGCAGAATCGCGGCAACATTGTCGCAGAACGTTACAGTTCTTGCAGAAAGAATTTTCGAATTTACAAAATGACATTAAATAGCAATGATAACTGAACAAAATGAATAAATTAAAAACACTATATTAAAATCTTATTCTATTAGACTATAATGAAAAAACTTTGGGATCCTTTAATCGGGTAGATTTAATGTTCCGTGTACAATAGAAAATATCAGTATAACAATCTAAAACCTCTAAAAGAATGGTTGTATTTAAACAAAACAAGTTATAAGCAGTTACCAAATATTCAACTTTCTTCTTTGAAGCAAATCCTGCATTCTTAGGAATAAAAATGTAAAGTACCGATAAACCCAGGTTTTTCATCAAAAATATCTTCTTTTTTTTTTGTTGATAAAAACCTTATGTGGGTAGGGATTTTTAAAAAATTCCTATTTTTTCCAAACCCAGTTTATTAAAGAACTATTTACTTTTAGTATGATTAGGAATTTAAAAAAAAAGAAAAACTTTTATTTCTCTTTATAAATTTACATTTACTTACATTACACACTGTAATATTATAGACATTTATTTAGTTAAATTTTTTAGAAATACTTTCTGTTGTGGATTAGATTGAAAAAAAATTTCTGTTACTTCTTTTTTAGGGGGGACTATGCCTCATTTCTATATTCTTTCTGCCATGATTTGTTTTCTGGAACTCGCTGGATTTCGTAGGTCTTTTACTTAGGTACCTTAGAACTGATCCCCACTTCAAAAAAAAGAATAATCTCTTCCGTGTGCAGAATTCCCTTCGCCCACAGAATATTCTTTTCTTTCAGAGTGCTCCACTTTCCTCATGTGGTCTGATTCAAGGCAAAAGGAAGAACATATTGATGAAAGAAGGGTTTCTTTCTCTTACACTTGCCGTCTCTCAAAATACTTTACCATTGATGCATGGTCTCATTTAAAGCAATTAAAGAACGACTTCTTGTTTTAAACATTTTCATAATACTGAAAAATTGCTCCTATAAACTACATTAATACTGAATTAAGGACTTTTAATAACCTTGGACCAAAATTAAGTACTTTTAAAATAAAAACAGGGTATTTGCTACATTTTAGATTTTCAAATTCATGACTTTACAAAGTTACTATTTTCTCCGACAAAAACACAACAATACATTTAAAAAAGTATTATAATAACATTAAGCTAAATGATTAGTATAACCAAAACTGTTACACTCTGTATCTTCATATTTATAGATTTTAAATTTAAAAATAGAGTAAAGAAAGAGTTGAAGTAATAAAATAGTTGAAAAAAATACAAAGCAAATAATTTTTTTTCTTTTATGCAGCAGAATTATACTCTAAAGATACTTTTCTTGTTCATCAGAAACGGAAGAAATACTCCGGATTTTTCTGTTCTCATTTTGGAATTTAAAAAAAAATTGCCAAAGATTAGCTTGCTTCAGCTAGAATTTTAAATTGATAAAATAAAATAAATAAATAATAATAAAAATTCTGAAATCACAGAAGTTTAAAAGATGATTCGCTCTGGAAATGACGTTTTTTCTTTCATTTCTTTGAAAGAACACCATTACTTTAAAAATTATAAAAACATTTTTCATCCTAATAAAATATGACTGTGAGTGGGGATTTTGTTACAAATTCAGATATTTGGAACACTGTGAAATTGGGGGTGGGGGTAAATTCCATTTTAAAAATTAGATTCCTCGGCGACCTAAATCCATGACTTTTTTTTTAAAACAAAATAGTTAAAATCATGACAAATTCTGTTCAATACTGAAATTCATGGCTTTCCATGATTTTTCATGACTTTCCAGGTGTGCGGATACCTTGTAAAAATTAAGCAGCTTTTAAGGACCATGGGAACTCTGGATCCTACACTCTAAACACAAAGGACACCAAAAGAATACAACAAAATTATATTAGTCAATGCAAATTAAATTATTAGCCAATGCAAAATAGTAATTAGTCAATCCAAATGCGTATAACAGCGATACAATTCTGCGTTTAAAAAGTAGAAACTTACGATTGCTTCTGAAATGGTGTTATGGAGTTGAGAGCAATAAATACCATTTTGTTCACAACAAACTGACTTATACGCACATGGAAAAGGATATCGTATAAAAATATTATACATTACTGATTTTTAAAGTAATTAAACAAGAAATAATTGTCGTAGAGCCTTGAGAAATTTGAATTGTCAACTTGCCAGCTTAAAATTTACGGAAGTTGATGAAATGACTGACGGGCATTTTTGGAGCTCGTTGCAGTATTTCGCTTATAGCTCGCTTATAGTAAAGTGAGAAATAGGATGAAGATTACGGAAGATGAATTTCTGTGAACGATGTTAGAAATTTGACATTCATATTTTTTTGAAAAAGGCGAAAAGGTTGTTCATTCACAAACAATCAAACCAATCCGAGTCGGAGTTTTGAAGTATTGAAATTGTCAATTTTAGTTTTTGAAACTGCGTAAAATACTTCTTGTATAATTATTAATGCTTTCTGTCAGTATTAAGTTCCGATACAGGTTAGAAGTAAATATTTTTGTTTTCGAGGAATCACGTAGTTACTACTAAATTGAACTTATACTGTCATTGCCTTATACCTTTATTGAGTTAAAATAATCATAAGATTCCTATTATATTCTTTCTTCACGTATGCATACCCATATATGTTCAGTTTGTTGCTTCTAAATAATCTTAAACATTAAGATTATCGATAGTCCTCAAACAAAATTTATTTTTCTTGGAATACGTTAATTTATATATGTAAAAACTTAGTTAAATAAAAGCTTACTTTGAATGAAATATTTTGGATTATATTTCAATTCTTCTCCAAAATGAATATACCTCTATTGTACTTGTTAGGGCTTCTGCTATATTGAACTTAAGGGTTGCTTTTATGTATTTTTTCCAGATATTTCACTGCTTTAGTATTGAAAATGTTCTTGTTATTTGTTTTCTGTAAAACTAAGCGAACGTTTCTTCAGCTACAACTAAAGAAAATCAGAAATTGAAACATTAGTCTTGCAGAACCCACGCTGAGGACTTCAAATTACTAGCCAGTAAATTAGCCGAATGTCTAAGAAGTTAGCCAAATTTCAGAAGTCTTAGCCGAAAGCATTTATTAATGAATTTTTATGATTGATTTTTTCAAAATACTTTGTAAAAATACAAACTTGCTATATATTTAAAAAAAATCAAATCAAGAGTCATTTTACAGTTAAAAAGAGAATGGAGGAAAAGATCAAAAATGCAGACTTTTTATCGTCTTTGAGGGGGAAAGTAATGGGTTTGGGTTAATTTTTGATAACTTCTTAGACTATAGCAGTAATAGAAAGATTTGCCTGAAACTACATTTGATATTTTTTTCTCCCGTGGCAGAATCACGGCGACATAGTCACAGAACATTATACAGTTCCTGCAAAAAAAAAAATTTCTTTTTTGAAAACTTTGATTTTTATCTATTTTTCTATCATAACACAGGAATTAATATGGTTTCTATTAGACTTAATTCTTTTTTTTGTTTGTTTTTGTTTTAAACATAGAATAATTGGAATAGAGACTAAGAAAATGTTTTCTTGATAAAAATTTTTTCATTCTGTAGTGATGGATCGAAAACATATCATGATGTGTATTGAAATGACAAAGGCGATACAAGAAAAGAATTATCATGCTGTACTAAGACTTTTAGATGAAGAAAATTTAGATGTTGATTCTGAGCTGATGCTTCACAAATACCCAATAATGATCAGTATTGAATCTAATGCTATTACTATAGGTTTGTTTGTTCTGAAAAATTTATGATCGTTTAAAAATATTAATCTTATTTTAACTCTATATTTTATTCCTTCTGAAAATTATGCTAGTAATTTTTATTACACTACCATTTAAGTGTTATCTGTGCCAATTTTTTCTATTTCTCTAAAGTTCTTTCTCTGTAAGTAGATTATGGGTTTTGCTTTAACCGCTTCCCTATTTATCTGAGTTAACTCAGGTGTGTATATATTGCAAATATTTATCATCATGAGAAAACTCGGGCGTATGTATTGTTTTATCTCGTTTTTACTCAGCTGAAAGCGAAAAAAATATCTGCTGTGATTGGAAGCTTGCCAAGTCACGGGTCTGTCCAGACCGAATTTACTACCGTTTAGCAGTACCTTCACAAATTCAACTTCAGGAAAAACTGTAGCTTCACAAAATACTTTTTCTTAAAATTTTATTTTTGTAACCCACAAGAAACGATAAATCCATATTTTGGCCACATTTTTGTGTTGATTTTTTAATATAATTTTTAATTTTCCACAAATTATGTCAACATTTTCACAAAATCGGTACCTCTCCAGGGGTCTGTCTAGGCCGAATTTACTACCGTTTAGCGGTACCTTCACAAATTCAACTTTAGGAAAAACGGTAGTTTCACAAATTCAATTTTAGGAAAAACGGTAGTTTCACAAAATACCTTTTCTTAAAATTTCATTTTTGTATCCCTTAAGAAACGATAAATCCATATTTTTGTGTTGATTTTTTAATATAATTTTAAATTTTTCACAAATTTCCTCTAAATTTTCACAAAATAGGTACCTGTCAGAAAAACCTAGACAGACCCCTGCTCTCAGAAAAGCCTAGACAGACCCCTGCAAGTTTTATTTAGAGTTTTGCTGTTGGACTCTGGAACTGCACAGGTGTTTTGTGCGATTGTATATGTTACCGTTAAAGTATGAAATCCGTTATTTTATGGAATACCTAGTTATTCCATGAAATAACTGATTGTGTCTGTTAAAGTGTAAAACTCTCTTGTATTTCATGGTTTAGCTAGTTATTTCATAGAATAACGATCTGCAGCCCGTTAAAGTGTAAAATAATGGAAAATAGTGCGAAAAAGATTAAATTATAAATGTCGGATAAATCTAATTCTGAAGCCTCTGTGGGGTTTACCGTCCGTATCCCAGTGCCTGAAGTTGACAGAGGAAAAGGTGATGCCAAATCTATTTTGCTATCATCCTACAAATAACCGAAGAAGGATTTTCCAATTAGGCACAAGAAACGGCAGCATGAAATAATTATATTCCCGATCCCAGTTCAGTGTCTGCGAACAAAAATTAATTAAAATCGAAGAAGTACCGGATGTAGAAATATCACTCCGGTCGGCTGCTACAGCTCAAAGTTTAGGTACTGACCAGGGATTTAAAAAATTTTCGTGTAAAACCCAGTGTGTCAACAAAAAATGTTTTAGAAATAATGTTCTTTGTAATTCCAAGTGTCATTTCAGTAATCCTTGTTGTAACAAATGATTTTATGGTACGTTTCCATAAATACCATTTATACGCTGCATAAATTTGATAAATTGCTTCGTTTACACTTTAATTGTCTATCATTAGTTAATTTATAGAATACCTAGTTATTTCATAGAATAACTAGTTAAAGTCTCAAATTAATAACATATTACACACTTAACGGTAACATAAATACGATGGTTGCTGAATTTACATAGAAAAAAAAGAGTAAAAAAAATGGTGTATTACTTCACTGGTGTTTGGAAGGTATCAGTGTTGTCTCTAGTCTTAAAAGCTGTCATACAAAGCCTAATATTTAACTTTTTCATTTGCCCGAGATAACTCTCGATAGTAACCTGATGGTAAATTAATCTTTTTTCTACACATAAAAAAAATTAAAATTTCATCTTAAAACTTTTGTATTATGTTTTGTTTCAGTTACTTGTATTTATTAATAAAATAAAAAAATCAACATATTTTTTTTATCATGTAATATGTTAAAATGAATTTCAGCATATTCTTGTAAATATGCTTCACTAATTTAATCTTTCTCCTAATTATTATAAACTAAATTTTAAAGGATGATAACATCAGAGATGATTGTTCTCCGGATTTTTCTTTTAACGCGATCCGGAGTTCCAAGGTCCAAAAATTTCAATTCAATTGCAAATGATGTTTTTTATTTAAACTTTATTCCGTTTAGTCATTTATTTATCTTTGATATTTTTTCCAAAAGACTTTCTAATTCTTAATTGGCAAGCTGCCAGCAGTATAAACAGATCAGTTTTTAATTTTTTTTTTTTCAATTGAATGTCGCCTAGCACTGACTTTCTCGTTTTCATTAGAATATGTTTCCGCAGTCGATTATTTTATAATTTGTTTATTTATACTATTACTAGTCTGTGCAAAGGTATGACTGCACGTCATAAATATTGAATCAAACATACAATTTATTTGTAGATGAAGCATACTTTATTCAATTAATTAATCATTTTTATTATTTATTTCTTATTGTAGTTATGTGTTAATAATAATAATTGTAATTACTGATAAAAGTGAACTTAGACAAAATTATTCATTTAAATTATGCTGCATATAATTTATTTTGAATTTCATGTTTTGAAAGTAGCAATGATTTCAATTTTTCCAATGTATTAATTTTTTGAAATGTGCTATTGAATAATGATTTTACTCAAGAAATTTTCAGGATTTTTGAGTTGGGCTCACAATCACCTACTTTACATCTACTTTGTGGAAATACTCAAATTGAATTTTGTTCTCTTAACGAATGTGCTAAGGAATGAAAAGAATTTTGGTGTATAGCAACTACATAACTATAAAATAGCCATGCGAATAAAATAAAAAATTGCAGACCTATTTTTTCTAAATTTTTTTTTTTTAAACTGTGAACTGCTAATTTTTTTTAAATTGAATTTTTTGAAGTAAATTGTTTTTAAACATATCTACAGGGTTGCCACAGGGGACTAAAATGCAACTATTTTCGGCATGAGGCGACTAAGGCAACTTTTTTTGCCTGAAAAGGAGACTTTTCTGTACTCCTGGAAGTGTTCTCTCAACACACAGAATTTTTTTTTCTTAAAAAATAAATTTTGAGTTGCAAATTTTAGTCCTCACTTTTTAATACATTGAATTTGCACAGACTCCATTATAAGTCTTATTTCGTTTTTCGATCGCCTTTTCACTAGTTATTGCTACGAAATTCCGTATGATTTTAAAAGAAAAGCAATTTATAATACAATATTATGATGCATGAATTTCGAATTCGAGTAATCACTTTCCACAATATATATATATATATTAGGGCTGGGCAATGTCAGAATTTCGATATTGTGGTATATTGTGAGCTTCATATCACGATATTATGATATACCGCGGTAATTAAATTGTTATGTATATTATAAATGCTAAGACTATTTTGCAATTAAAAATTAATGTGTTTAAAGAGCATCATTTAAAAAAAATGGGGTACTTATCCTATATTAGCTCGCAGCATAATTATCCCATGGAATCAACTAATTATAAAGCATCATTATTTTAAAACAGAAAAATTTTATTAATATAAACATCAATTACTAATATAAACATCAACACAATTATAAACATCAAAACAGTTATAAACATCAACACAATTATAAACATCAACAATTATAAATATCAACACAATTATAAACATCACAAGGAGATCCGACAATCTCGGATATTTTTAAAATCAGAAGCACGCTATTCTCAAAATGAAACCAAAATCAGTAACTAAGTATACCATGGAGGGTTGATATAACGCGCGGGTGTTTGAAATCCGATATCGCCAATACCACGGATATGACGCATGCGCTTTAAAGTCAAATGATACCACAATATATTGTAGGAGAAATTTCTAGCTGCCGAGAGGAGGTATCGTAAATATTACGCGCAAGCCTTTGAGTTCTTCACCCCTAAATCAATCACGTGCCATACCAATACCTCCTAGATACCATACCATACCGCCACTTCCTCGCCGCCGGTCGGCCGAAGATATTGGCTAGCGGTGAGTACCGAGAGGTGCAGGCATACCGAAGTTCAATAACTCGGTATTGCCGAAGAATATACTTCCGAATATCATTACCGCGGTATCAAAGAAATGACGGTATTACGGTATATTGCCCAGGCCTAATATATATATATATATATATATGTTTGCTAAATTAATTATTGATAAAAGGGAAAAGTTTTTAGAAAAAGTAAGTTTTTTTTTAATGAAAAAGTATTTTTTTAATGATTTCTAGTAATTAAAAGTATTTAATTTTCTGCAAATATACAAATTTTTTTGATATAAGAATTTAGTGCTAGAACCCTAACGTTTATATAAAAATTATCATATTTGCCACAAACTAGACTAAATTGATCATGGTATATGTATGACAATTAAGTATAAAATTTTCTTCATATTTTTGATGAATTTTTGTTCTTATTTAGGCAACTATTTTCACGCTTTATGCTACTAAAAGCAACTATTCTGTTAATTTTTTCTGTGGCAACCCTGTATCTACAGTTAGCTAAAATTTGTATGGAAATTAAAGAATTCTTTTTTAAGTAGAGTTTTAAGTAGTTTTTAATTTTTTTTTTTTTGCATACTTATTTTAAATAATGTAAAAACCTTCATTGTGTAAGCTGAAATACTTCAAAATTAAGGCATGGCAAAAAAAATGTGATCCCTTTTTAAAATCCAAATTTTGTTTGTTGACTAGCATTATTGAAAAAAATATTTCAAAAATAAATTCCATTTTAGTTGTGCCTTTATTTACATAGTGTCTTTCTCTAAATATTTTGTCTTGCTGCAGGAAAATTTTTAATCAGCCGTGGCTGTAGCCTCAGTTTAAAAAATGTTCAAGGACTTACACCTCTTCTCTTAGCTGTGCAACTGTTAAATTTTGATTTTGTGAAATTGTTGCTTGATAACAGAGCAGATCTGACTAGCCAAGACAATGAAGGAAGGACAGCTTTGCACCTTGCTGCACAAATGAATTCCTTAAGTAACTATGGTTTTTTACTTTTAGTAGAATTATTAAACTTTGTGCAAGTTATTACTTAGTTCTAGTTTATTAGTTTCTAGTTAAATTAGTAGTTACTCTTAGGTTAAGTTTTCTCATCTTTGCCTCTTGTGCTTTAGACCAATCATGAAAAGGGTGCAAAATATAAATTTTTATTTTTTTAAATAATTAGATAAATTATTTGAGATCTAATCTTTTAGTACAATGTGCATAGCGTTTTTAAAAAGTGCTTAAAGGTGCTTAATTTCAATTTTCGTTTTTCAAAAGCCCTTAAAGGTGCTTTTTTATATTGTGTTTTTAAAAAGTACATTTTGTTAATGTATGTTGTGCTTAAAATTATTTTTTGAGTGCTTAAAAAATACGTAGAAGATGCTTATTTTTTGTTGAATTTGAAGTATTGTAGTATTTGAAAATTTACTTAAACACTACCTTCTTTGGGCATAAAATATACATGAAAATTTAAAAGCATTGACTAATTTTTATAATTTTATTTAAGTAAATAAATTTTTCCTAAAGGAATTAGGTCTCTTTCAGTCAAGATAGTGTATGTAGTTTAAAATTAAAGCTTTAATTATCATAGTACAAATTTAAATACTTTCATAAAAGAATATATTAAGTTTTTTTTTTTTTTTTTGTTAATTTTTTTTTACTGTTTTCTAAGGATTTTGATTAGTTGAATCAAAAAAAAAAGAGGAAAAAAGACATAATTTAAAGAGATAGCAAACAAATTATCTGTATCGAGATTTTTTCAGATAGGTTTTAACTTTTTAGATTTAATTTTATTGTTTATTTTAACACATTTATGGCTAATTGATAAGGGATGTAACGTGTACATACCTGTCAAGTCTCCTGTTTTTCAATGTAGACTCCCGTATTTTATGACTATCTCCTGTTTACCCGTATATTCTCAAATTTCTCCGTATTTGTTGAAGAAAATTCTTTTGAAATAAAATTTTTTGGACATAAAATATCCGCTGATGTCAAAAATACTTCTCTTATTACTCAACAGATGGTGCTATTGCCAGTACTGCAGTATGTTGAGTGTTAATAGTTTAAGTAATTCTAATGTGAAAAAAAAAACTGTTCGAGCAGTTTTTTATGACATTCCCCATCTCAATTAAGGTAGTTATTGTTAAAATGTGCTAGTTGAATTTTTTAAAACTTTTTGTTTTAAGACAAAAAGTGGTAGTTACTATTACTATGGTTGTGGAAAAAAGTTTGTTTGTTAAATACTGTTAGGTAATGAACTAGAAAGTGATTGTTGAGAAGAGTCTTTTCATTTTACCAAATCTTAAATGCAATGCGTGTGTACCTACATGTGACCAAAAACTCTCTAATCATAAGTTTTTTTTTTTTTTTTTTTTTTTTTTTTTTTTTTTTNTTTTTTTTTTTTTTTTTTTTTTTTTTTTTTTTTTTTTTTTTTTTGATAATTCAAATAGTTTGATGCTACAGAAGTGTTTGAAAAAATCCAGAGTAGAAATTAAATGTTTTTCCTACTTTTCAAATAAGTGTGTATTTAAAGGGAAAAATATAACTGACTATTTGAAAGGGGAAAAGAATTATATTTTAGTTTTACTTTAAACTTAAGTGAAACCAAAGAGAGGAAAAAAATCATAAGGTTAGGCCTGTATACTTTATTGTTGAAAAAAAAAGATAATGAAAATTTTACTATCACACTTTTGAACGTAAATTATATTTTTCACACATCACCAATTTATAATTTCCTGCTTATCTATCCAGTATACCACAAATTAAAATCAACATGAATAAATAAGGAAATTATTGTTTTTTTTATTATTTATTTTTAAAGCATTTCAAAATTAAAAGCCCTTTGGCAGAATCGCGGCGACATTGACGCAGAACGTTACAGAGCTCTTGCAGAAATAATTTCCCTTTAAAAAGTAAAAAAATTTTCAACATTTTTTTTTCTCTAAAATTATATTTAAAAGATGCCTTTTTTGCTCATCGGAGGGGAAAGAAATGTCCTCAATTTTTCGATTCTTATTTGAGAAGAATAAAAAATATTGAAGCAGGAAATTTATTTTCAACAGAAATGTTTGAAAGATTTTTTTCCTCACCAATTATATTCAGTCGATGTCTTTTTCACGCATCAGAGGGGAAGAAATGCTTGTGTTTTTTTTTTTTCATTCTTATTTTGGGGGGGGGTGCTTTTTTTTTCATAGATTTTACGATTTTTGTTTATTTTTTTTATGTGATGATGATTCACAAAATGCGAAAAATGAAATAATTAGTGAGTTATCCTCTTACAAAATGTGATAATATCGCCCATGATATTAGAATAAAAAAATATTACATATCCATTTTTAAAAAAATACATACAATTTTATTATATCCAGATAGTCCTTTCTTTGTAAATACAGCGTTTCTGTTGCTTTAAATTTAATTAATAACATGTACATGGGTCTATCCAGGCCAAATTTACTACCGTTTAACAGTACCTTCACAAATTCAACTTTAGAAAAAACGGTAGTTTCACACAATGCTTTTTCTTAAAATTTTATTTCTGTAGCCCACAAGAAACGATAAATCCACATTTTTGTGTTGATTTTTTATTATAATTTTTAATTTTCACAAATTTTGTCTATTTTCACCTCTCAGAAGAACCTAGACAAACCCCTGATGTATATTAGTGATTATTAAAAGTATCTTGCAGAAAGATATTAGTGCTAGAGAGGTTTGTCGCAGAAAGCCAAAAAAAATTCTGCCACAGGGAAAACAAGTGTGTAATACATGTTTCAAAGTTAATTTTTTACTTGTTATTTTTAAAATTATGGAAAAGAAAAGCAATGTAACAAATGTTGGACAACATTTCCTGAGCAGTCTTAAATTAATGGCTTTTAATTTTTAAGGAATGGTTCAGTTGTTGATGAAGAATCCATCTGTCTCATGTGTTTTAAAAATGTTGGACAAAGAAGGAAAGACACCCTTTATGTATGCTTGTGCTCATGGCTCTCAATCCCTTATTTCCTATATCCTGGATAAAGGAGAATGCAGTGTGAATGAAGCATATGGACAATTTCAAGACACCCCTCTTCTCACTCTCATCTCAAATTACAATTGTTCCTCTGAGATTATTAACAAAATTCTGGATGCTGGTGCAAACGTAAGTTTTGTTCATTTTTAATTTTATACTGATCCCTTTTAAATGGTATCTGCACACCTGGAAGGTCATGAGAAATCATGGAAAGTCATGAGTAAGGCCCGGATTTTGATGACATTTGCATTTTTTGCATTTTTGTCTTTTAGAGCATTTTTTTAGATTTATAGGGCATTTTTCTTTAAATTTTGGGGCGTATTTTGCATTTTAATGCATTTTTTTTTAAAGTTTTTGGTTAATTTTTTCCAATTTTTATTATTTTTTATCAATTTTCATTATTACACTGGCTTCCAAACAATGAAGAAAATCTATAGGATATTAACAGGTGAAGCAAAATCTTTTCAAATTGAAGAAGAATTGTCAGTAAGTGAGACCGTCTTTTTCAAGTACGCACCTATAACATCAGTAGACGTTGAAAGAAGCTTCTGCAGGAATGAAAATTTACTTTCAGACAAGAGACGCTCGTTTACATTTCAAATTATCAAAAAACATTTAATAATCCAATGTAATTCTGATATTTAGTAATATTATGAGATGGGAGTTGTTATATCCCTCAAAGTTTCTCTACAAAAGAAAAATATTTTGGTGTCAATATATTTTCCTTTTTTTGTTATTTTAGGATATAAAACATATTTTTCAAACTTTAATGCACGTAGAACAAGTATTGCATTGCTTTATATTTTTTAAATGACTCATAATAATTTTAAAGAGCAAAAAAAATTTTTAATTCAATATTTTTACTTTATTTAAGGCATTTTTTGCGCAATTTTGGCATTTTTAAGGGCATTTTTTGCACTTTTTAAGGGCATTAGTTAAGATTTTTTAGGTCATCAAAATCCGGGCTCTAGTCATGAGTTTCGGTGTTGAACAAAATTCAGGGGTGATTGTGCTCCGGGGAAAATCCGGATTTCTTGCTAACTGCGATCCGAAAATTTGCAGAGCCCAGAAGCTTCAAGAAATCATCTATCACATTTATATATAAAAATTCTTGTATATTTTATTTAAAAATATTCGAACTAGAATTTATACTTGGTGTCTCTTTCATTTGTGAACATTTTTTCTGGTAGAATAATAAATGTGATAAGAGATAAAAGTAAACTTACACATAATTATTCATTTAAATTTTGCAGCATATAATTCATTTAGAATATCATGTTTTGAAACTTTCAATTAATTAAATTTATAAAGATATTAATTTACTCAAGAAATTTTCAGGATTTTTGAGTTGGGCCACCCCTGAAAATTTGTCATTAAATGTCTATTTTTTCCAAAGAAAAATTCACGGAAAGTCATAGAATTTTCCCCCCTCCCCTAATTTCATGGAGTTCCGTATGTCTGAATTTGTAACAAAATCCACACTCACAGTTTTATTTTATTAAAATATAAAATGTTTTTATCATGTTCTTTAAAAGTTATGGTGTTCTTTCGAAAGATTAAAGAATAAACATCATTTCTAGACAGGGTTTGTTGATTTAAATCAAATGGTTTTCTTAAAAAAATCATTGATTTAAATCAAATGATTTTTTATGTATACAGTGAAACCTGCCAAGTTGACCACCCTTGTAAGTTGGGCACCTGCATAAGTTGACNTTTTATTATTTTCTTTTCTTAGTTTTAAAATTTATTTTAAATAAATTGCTGCATTAAATAATTTTAGTTAATGAAATTACTTTCTTTCTTGGTGTGTGTTAAATTCCAACACATTTGAAATTACATTTTTAAAAATCTTTTGGTTCTTGAGATTGAAAGGACAGATTAAAGTAAACATTCAATGCTGTCTTAATATAGACTTACATAGCTGTAGAAAGTAATTAATAAACATGAATTTTTTTCANAAAAAAAAAAAAAAAGAATGCAAGTAATGTTAATTGAAATTCTACCTTTTGATTGAAAAAGCATGGAATGAAAATCTACATTATATTTTATTGGTGAAAAATGTATATTTCTGAAGCTTGAGGTTATAATATAAAGAAATTACCCTAATATGCCAAAAATAGAAGAAAAAAATGCTGAGGAATTCAGATATTTTTTTCCTGATATAGCGTCATTCTTCCCTTTCAAAATCTATTTGAAGCAGTAGGGTTATTAACTGGTAATTTTTTTCTCACAATATGTTTACAGTATCTTTGACATTATCAGATTTTCTATAAAGAAATTTTGTGAAAAAAAAAATTCCAATAAGTACACTGATTTTTAAAAAAAAATTTTTTTTAGCTTAACTTATCTATTTTGATATAGGATTAAAAATGAATATTTTAATATAAAAATACATAGATTAAATATTTATTTACGAATGACTACATTTATAAACACAATCTGTTACATTTATTTTGTCATTTTAGAAACTGAGGGAAAAGAGAAAAATTGTAATTTTGAATTAAAATTATGGTTCACTAATTGAAACTTTGTTTTAATAGTTAAAGAACAGGGGTCTGTCCAAGCCAAATTTGCTACTGTTTAGCAGTACTTTCACAAATTCAACTTGAGGAAAAACTGTAGTTTCACAAAACTGTAGTTTTTTGTGTCTCGTAAGAAACGATAAATCCATATTTTTGTGTTGATTTTTTAATAGAATTTTTAATTTTCACAAATTATGTCTAAATTATCATAAAATAGGTACGTCTCAGAAAAACCTTGACAGACCCCTAACAGTATTCTTTAAATTCTCTGTTTCATCTAGTCTTTAAATTTCAACCATGCATTTATTTCAAAATGGTTGCTAGGCATTCAAAGCTATGTATTGTAATGAAAAATTATGTTAGTAAGTTAAAGTTTTAAAAATGTTGTTATAATATAGTTTTAATATTAATTTAATTTTTAATGAACATTTATAAAGTTTTTTTAATCATAAATTAAAATTCTTACAATGTATTTGAATTTTAAAAAAATCTGATTATTTTTTTATTTTTTAAAAAACAAATTAAAAAAAATTACTAACCTTATTTCTTGAGCCAATTATCTTTCAAGCCTCTGTGATTTTAGAATTTTTTATTTATCAATTGAAAATTAAAGCTGAAGCAAGCCAGCCATTGGCGAATTTTTTTAATTCCGAAATGAGAGCAGAAAAATCAGGAGTATTTCTTTCTTTTCCGATAAACAAGAAAAATATCTTTAGAATATAATTCTGCAGAAAAAATCATTTGCTTTTGTATTTTTTTCAGCTATTTTACTGCTTCAACTCTTTCTTTACTCTGTTTCTTAAAACTTAAATTCTATAAATATGAAGATGCAGAGTATAACAGTTTTGGTTATACCTCTCATTTCAATTAAACGTTATTATAATGCTTTTTTAAATTTATTGTTATGTTTTTGTCTGTGAAAATAGTCGGAATAATAGTGTCTAGGAATTAGTCATGAATTTGAAAATCTAAAATGTAGCAGCAGACACCTTGATTATGTTGCTTTTGAAGTAAAACCTCTTGATCAAGTTGTGTAATTTGTGAAAAACTAGCACTTAGGTGAACTCTACCACTAAGAAGGTCTGTGAATGCAGTAAACCCTCGCTACAACAATACTTTAGAGATCAAATAAATGTATTGTTGTACAGAGATGTATTGTTATATTGAGAGCCTAAATACTTTGGGAGCACAATAAGATTTTTTTTCAAATTTTAATGTTATACAGTGGTGGCCAAAAGTGTGGACACTTTTTGAAAATTTCATGTTTTTCAACTTTGTGTGCTTGTAGAATATATTAATTTTCACTTAAAAGTAAACGTTTACATACCAAATTGAAGGTAATTTAATGTAAAATTTAATAACAAATACAGTATTACAATATATGTATTACAGAAAAAGTTATGCAATTAATAGTAAGATGTATCTTAGATTTGTAATTTTTTAAAGTGATACTTACACAATCAATACTTAGTAGGATAACCCTTTTTTTTTAAGACAGCTTCACAGCGTCTTTTCATCGAGTAAACAAGTGTTTGGAGTTCATCTTTCGTAATCACATGGTGCAAGGAATCAATTATAGCTTCACTCAGTTGTCTTTTATTGGATGGACGTTTATTTCGTACAAGAATGTTCAAACGTCGCCACAAATTTTCAATTAGATTGAGATCAGGACTGTTTCCTGGCCATGGTAATATATCTATGCCTTTATTTTGAAAGCATGCTTTGCATACTTTTGCTGTGTGGCATGGAGCTGAATCCTGCTGAAAAATAAATGGTGCGTTGTTGGGGAAGAGATCCCTGATGGAAGGTATCAATTTTGATTTCAGGACAGTTTTGATGTATTTTTTGGAATTCAGGATGCCAAATCAGGCCGAAAAAATGCACAAGTGCTACCACCGATAGAAAAATTAAATGGCTATGTCTTCAAGATAGAAAAATGTCATTAGATGTGAAATGAATGCAGCTGGTATTGCAGTAACTTCAAAAACAATAAGAAGAAGGTTATCAGGATTTGGACTACAAGCTAGAATTCCAAGGAAAAAACCATATTTAAATCAAAAGCAACGTGAAAAACGAGTTAAGTCGGCAAAAGAACACATTAAATGGTCAGAAAATGAATGGAAGCAAGTAATCTGGAGTGATGAGAGTAAAATATCGCTCTTTGGAAGTGGTGGTAGAAAATACGTGAGACGTAGAGTAGGCGAAGCGCTTCATCCTGATTGCATTGAAGCAACTACAAAAAATCCAACAAATGTCAGGATTTTGGCATGTATGCCTGCAGATGGTGTGAGACGAATTCAAGTGATTGATGCATCCTGAATGCCAAAAAATGCATCGAAACAGCCCTGAAACCAAAATTGATACCTTCAATAAGGGATTTCTTCTCCAACAACGCACCATTTATTTTTCAGCAGGATTCAGCTCCATGCCACACAGCAAAAGTATGCAAAGCATGGTTTCAAAATAAAGGCATAGATATATTACCATGGCCTGGAAACAGCCCTGATCTCAATCCAATTGAAAATTTGTGGCGATGTTTGAAAATTCTTGTACGAAAAAAACATCCATCCAATAAAAGACACCTTATTGAAGCTATAATTGATTCGTGGCACCATGTGACTACGAAAGATGAACTCCAAACACTCCTTCACTCGATGAAAAGACGCTGTGAAGCTGTCTTAAAAATAAGGGTTATCCTACTAAGTATTGATTGTGTAAGTATCACTTTAAAAAAATGCAAATCTGAGATAGATCTGACTATTTGTTGCATAACCTTTTTTGTAATACAGATATTGTATGTATTTAAGTGAAAATTAATATATTCAACAAGCANTCGTTATATTGAGAGGAAGATAACATTAATCCATATGCAAGTTTGGCGGGACCACGGAACATTATCGTAATAGAGGGAGTTATTGTTGTATCGTATATCGTAGTAGCGAGAGTTCACTGTATATGTATTAACTGTAAATGTATTTATATATTATGCAAGACATAAATTTGCAGTGTGTTATTTATGGTTAAATATTAAAAACAATTGAAATAATTTCAGAAAATAAGATCTTAAATGTACCTGAAAACCGTTTTTATTGAAAATAATCTGATATTTTCGTTTGTTTATTCACTTTTTTGACTGTCAAGTCAACCAATAAAGTATGCATTGAGTCCAAGGAACGAAAACGATTTTCGTTTTTGAATGGTGCTCCACCCACCCTCTGCAGAAAAAATTCTCTTTCAGTTGTTAATGTGATCATTTGTGACTTAGGATCAGCTTTTAACTTGAAGGAAATGAAATCAGATAGGAATGTTACACCTGTAACTTCTTAAGAGAAAAGGGAGGCAATTCTAAGAATGGAAGTTCTTGGGTTGGTCAGCAGCGAGTCTTCTCTTGCCAGAAAAGATGGGGAGAAACGGCAAAAGATGATAAAATAAGATTCTTTACATTATTTGGAGAGAAAAAATCGTTTTACAAGGGTTTTTTGCTTCAGAGAATATCATAATATTGAGAGGAGCATAACATTACAGGGTTGCCACTCCACCGGGAGAACCTTTAAAATACATGGAATTTAAAATCACCTAAAATGCAGGGAATTGTGATTTTTTCTGTACAAACTGGGAAAATACAGGGAATTTTGTTATTTTTGTCTTTTAAAAAATGGTGACCACTCAAAGCATAATCTAAGGGATATTTAACCTTGATATTTCAGCTATACTAAACTATTTCATTTATAATAGCATTCTCTAAGTATGTTCAGCAGTTTTTCCAGCTATTAAAACTAATAAATGTAGTTAACTCAATATAGCTCACACAAGAGTACAGTAATTGTTGTTTCCTCTTAATATATTGTGTATAATATGTACAGGAAAAACACTGCGAATTTTTTCCAGATTTGAGTGGCAACCATGTTGTTGTATTGGATATTGTAGTAGCGAGAGTTCACTGTATTAACAGGGTGTGTAGCGTTTTTAAAAAGTGCTTATTTTTGATTTTTAAAAGTCCTTAAAATGTGCTTTTGTCATTGAGTGTTTTTAAAAAGTGCTTAATTTTCCCTTTTTGAAAATGAGATTTTTCCTTGACCATGTTGATTTTCTCTATGAATTATGCAAAAAGACATATTGTTCTATTCAACGTTTTCACAATTAATTCAACCCCAATCTATTTCAGTGTATTGTCAACCCGTAGCATTTGAAAACGCCATTCGGTTTACATAATTCAAAATTTCATGATTTTTGACAATTGTCAAAAACAATACCAAAAGTTTTTTTTATTTTTTATATGGCGGTTTAAACAAGATAAAACCATCAATTGTCGAAAACTTTCCAAAAGTGCTTAAAATTTTTCTTGAGTGCTTAAAAGGTGCTTATTTTTTGTTGATTAATTTGGCTACACAACCTGATTAAGATTTTTATAAGATGAATAAATTCCCTCAAAAACTCTTGACATTTACATTTCTTTTTTTTTTCTTTTCAGATCAATCATCTGAACAAACTGAATGAGACACCACTCCTTAAAGCATTTCATGAATTAAAATCTAACAATAAATTGTTCCATCATATTTGTGCCCTGCTAATAATGAGGGGGAGTAGAGTCAATGTGAGGAACTCTTTAGGAGACACACCCCTCCACATTGCAGTGTCCATGAATAATGAAACCCTTGTCCGCAAACTACTTAATGCCGGCAGTCTGGTCAATGTCACAAACAATTTCGGTTTAACTCCTCTGTTTTATGCTTGCAAAAAAGGTTTGCAGAAAATTGCTTCTCTTCTTTTGGACTGTGGAGCCGATGGTAAAGTCATCGATTGCCTTGCAAGTGAATATGAGTGGCTGCTGCAAAATGAAAGCTTGTTATATCCCAACACTTGTTCGGTTTTGAGTTACGTCTTCAACAAATCTAGAGAGTGTCGCGATCTCCGCAGTTCCTGCCGGTTGGTCATTCGTAGAAATCTCGTCGAGAGCATCGACCGGAGCGCATTGGAGCTTCCTCTGCCTCCCTCTTTGGTTAAGTTTATACTGCTTTGTTGAGTGAATTTTACAAAATGTGATGTAAATATACTGTGTATTTTATAAACTTTTACAATTTTGTTCCCCTTTTTTAATAATGCTTGTTGGAAATAAATGTTTGTTGACTAAGATTGTATTACTTTTGACATGGTTACCAAGACTCTTTTTATGTTTCGATTTCTGAAGCCAAAAATCACATGTAAGATGATTTTTAAACAGGGTTGCAAAAAACCCACCTACCCAGTATAACCCACCCAGGTTTTGCTGGGTAAAACCCACTCTGAAAAGCCAAGTAAAACCCACCCTAAAGTGGGTTTTTTGAAAATTGATTTCTTTTTTATCCTCTGTTATATTCAAGAGCTATTGAATGTGTGTATTGAGTGAATGTATTGAAATGTGTATGTAGTCCAGCCTAAAAAATGAACCTATGGTGAAAAAACTGTGTTTGGAGACTGGAGAGTCACCTTGCTGACTAGATTTGACTGTATGGCCATTGATTAGTCAATGCCTTTTATTCGCTTTCTATGCAAAAAAAAAATTCTCAAATATTTTTTAAGATTAAAATAAAAAGTAATCCTGTGTTAAAATAAGTTTCAAATGTATGATGTATGTGAGTACATGTAACATTTTGTATCATGATGTTCAGAAGAAACTTTTTTCAGACTATTTATTTGTACTATTAATTATTAATTACCTATGTGTTAAGTCAATTCATAAAATTAAACTTAATTATTAATAATAAAATAAGCTTTTTTAAATTAAGGTACTTATCCCTGCCCCCTCTTTTGAAGAAAAACCCAATAAAATATGAAAAACCCGGGTTTTTTGCAACCCTGTTTCTATATAAAGTTTTAAAAAATAAAATGAAAAATATGCTTGTCAGCAACAAACTTAATGAAAAAAGAGAAGAATTTTACAATAACATCCATTATTTATATGCAAATTAAGTCTCCATCAGTTCCTCATTAAATTAAAGCAGTGTAATAACACTGTGAGTTATAGACTGCTTAATTTTGTTAAGTACAATTAAACATTAATATGAAACATCCTAGGCTAGGCATCTTTAATATTTGACTGAAAAGGAATGGCTTTTATAACAGCAATACTTAGAAGACTGTTGCAGTCATGAATCAGAGAATTTTAATTCATAAGAAAAATTAATAATAGAGTGTATACGTCTTCTTTACTTGTCTACTTCGTTTTTTCTTCCTTTTCTTTTTTTGTGACATTCATTTTATCATAATATTTGCTAACTGTAATGATACTGATAACAATAATTACAGTACTACGTTAAAACACAAACATCTTTATTGGCAGAATGATGATCTAGATGTCATGTGACATCTACCCTTGAAAAAAGTAAGTACTAAAATACAAACATAATTTAAAGTGATATTTTCACTTAATTAATAACAAAACGTTATTGTATAAATTTTGACGATAATTATTGTTTATTTAGTGTTTTATTAATTAACTAGAGCTGAATACTCACTCTTCATATGGGGGGGGNGGGGGGGGGGGGGTGAATCAGCAGCAATTAATCAGTATCACTGCAAAATTCTGCACAGAACTTTAAGACAAATATCAACACAAATTAATTAGACTAAATATACAACTTCTCAAGTAGGAAAGCATGAATATCTCAAGTGAAAACAAGCTCTTCTCTTAAAAACAAAATGTTCAAACAAAACAAGATAGACCATACATAAGTTTGAAACTAATCTTGAGTAGTTTTTGATGCTCAGTTCTTATAAACTCAAAAGTTATATAGATTCAAATCTTATTAAATTAAAAGTCTTATAGATTCAAAAGTCAAATCTTAAATGTGCTAATTAATGCAGATGATATTTAATGGTATAATTTATTGTGAAATAAGAAACAAAACGTACTTTCTATGAATAAACATATCTCATTTTCGCTAATTAGAAATTCTGACTCTCAAAATATGGATGTTAGCTGGCCTAAATCACAAATTGGTCACAATAGTTTAGGCAACAGGGCAGTCCAAAGTTAGGATATTGATTTCACTTTTTGCACATTTCACTAATGCAGGAGAAATTTTTAAGTGAATCAAAACAATTTTGTACACAATTATAAAGTTCATTAATCTAAAGATAATTTCATTTTAAAAGAATTTATAATTATTTTATCTAAAAGTTTTTTCTTTTTCCACATTTCCCACCCGTGTTAACATTCGTCAATTTAGACATATGCAGGGCGATTTTGTTGGCCTCTCTTTCAAGGGCACCATATTAGGTGGGCCAACGTCAGTGAGGACAGATTGTACAGAGAAGGAAAGAACATCCATGCCTTGCCCGGGATTTGAACCCAGAACCCTTCTGATTCAAGAACAGTTCCCTGCCCCCTACACAGGCCGGTCGGCTTTTATCTAAAAGTAGTCGAATTATTTTTGAACTTTAATGTTTACAAATTTTTACTCCATTTTAAAACTATTCAAATACAAAATTTGAGCGAAGTAGATCGAATAGTTTCCGAGTTAATAAATTATAAACTTGATTTCTTGAGATGACACCAATTTCATTTAAATTATGTTTTTTGTCGTTGAGAAGTATATACTTAACAATAAAATACACGAATTCCCTTCACTAGATGAAATAAATAATAATTATTATTATTATTTTTACATGGAATTTTATTCGGGTAATTGAATTTTATATTTATGTGCTAAGACTTTTTGATTTGCTTAGCAATTTCCAGAGATAAAGCGAAATACGCAAAAAGTGAAATTATCAAAACCGGGTCAAAACTTTTTATCGCTCTCTTGTTTAATAAATTATTGGGACCATATTTGCTACCCCTTTCCCCACACTTCAAGGGTCAAAAAACTACATTTGTCGGAAAAAAAATTTTAAAAATGTTTATTCTGGGAAAGTATTTTTTTGTGTCTGATTACACACAACTTTAAACAGGATGCGTAGTGTTTTTTAAAGGTGCTTATTATGGTTTATTAAATGCTCTTAAAGGTGCTTTTTTCCATGGGTGTTATTAAAAAGTGCTTAATTTTCCCTTTTCCGAAATGTTGATTTTGGCTACAAATTATGTAAAAAGACATTGTCCCATTCAACGTTTTCACAATTAATTCAACCCCAATCTATTTCGGCGTACCGCCGGTCTGTAGTGTATAAAAACACTATTTGTTTTACATGTTTGACGAAATACTTGCTGGTCCGCATTTGCGTATAATGAGCTGGATTCAGTGGTAAGGATTTTTGACTCACGTGTGCAATCCTGTTGCATTTTGCAAGAGTTTCTCAATTTCAGACTTCCTTTTCCGCCCTCTGTAATAGAATCGAAAAATCTCTCTAATTTTTGCTGATTACGGGGACCAACTAAATATTGTCAATTTTTTTATCTCTTTTAGGGATAGAAAATTTCATTTCTCTTGTTAATTTCATCGTTTGTGACGTGCCATCGTCTTCGTCACTGTAAATAGAACCGGATTAAACCATCGATTGTCAAAAACTTACCAACCCTGTCTAATTATGATATTTTTCAAAGTGCTTAAAAATATTTTCTGAATGCTTAAAAGGTGCTTATTTTTTGTTGAAAAATTTGGCTACGCACCCTGTTAAATATCGTCAGCATTATTCATTAACATATAGAAGTCCTCAAACTTTTAAGATTGAGTTTGTGAAATTCCGTTCGTTAGATTATATCAAAAACAATTCTGAGCGTTCGCTTTTATTTTGAGCACAGTATATATCAAGCTAAGTCTCCTTGAACAAGAAATAAAAAATAAAAAAAACACACTGAGTCAAGATCAAGTCGCAGTCTGAAATTTGTTAAAGTTTTATAAGCTCAAGTTGCAAAAGCACGCTCCTAATCATGCAATTGGTTTTTGAAAAAAATATATATCAATCAATTAACCTCTCTTTTATTAGCCCTCCCACCCCTCTCTTCTGTAACATAACTTCCACAATGAAGGACAATTTAAAAGTTTCAAGCTTGTCTTCAGTACTTAGAGGAATCGTATTTTTCGCTGAAAAAAAGGCAAAAGTACCTGGTTTCAGAGAGGAAAAGGATGATTTAGCACGTTTGTGTGAAAAATCAATTTGTTACGCTTGATTACAAAAAAGCTTTCCTGTTCTAGTTTTGTATTTCACATCTCAGCAATTCGCTAACTATGTAGGTGGTCATTTTGTCACCCATGGCTGAGTGATAGCGCCTAACGCTCTCCTGCCACGGGTTCTGGGTTCGATTCTCGGGATGACTCAGCCTTGCATCCCTTCAGAGGGGTGATAAAATAAGTACCAAGCGTACGTGGGAACTAAACGCTGGAGGTTACACGTTCGGCTGATCACCTAACTGAAACATCTGCTCCAGCACCCTAGAGCCCAAGGTCAAGAAAACTGAGATAGGTACAGAGTTCAGTTTAAGCTACATATTCGTGGAAGCAACGTGTGAGTCGTGGTGCGGTTGTTAGCGCCATGTGTAAAGAAGTTTGTAGATGCATCAGGGGGTCGGTGCTAGTCGCGCATTAAGTTTTAATTTTTTTTTATTTCATTTAACTTTTTTTATATTTCATTTTTCGATATTTCAACGTGAATAAATTGTTCGATATATAAAAATAATTATTCTTCTTTGGGAAAGAGGGAATATTGGCGAAAAAATGGATAAATTTCGACTCCGGAGCTATGCACACGACTCACTCCGTAACTCCCTTTAATATTAACTTATAATTTTCAAACTCTGTCAGAAATTAGAGTTTTATATACCAAACAATCGTACCGGAAGAAATTTTTATACACTAATTAGGGGGCCCATAATGTGCCAAAATAGATTTTGTTAATTAACCGGAAGGAAGTTCTTTAAGCTATATATTCGTCGAAGTAACATGAGTGCCGTGGTGTGGTTGTTAGTGCCACGGTAAGGAAGTTTGTAGACCCGATGGTCAGGAGTTCGGTCCTGGTCACGGATCAAATTTTAAATTTTTTATCTATTTACTTTAGAAATTAGAGTTTTATATACCAAATAATCCTACCGAAGAAAATTTTTATACACTAATTAGGGGGCACATAATGGGCCAAAATAGATTTTGTTAATTAACCGGAAGGAAGTTCCTTAAGCTATATATTCGTGAAAGCAACGTGTGTGCCGTGGTGTGATTG